CTTGTCTGCGATACACGGCTAATGTACGAGCGCGGCACGCCGTTTGAGCCAAACTCACGCTGTCCTAAAAAATACAAAGCGCGTTGCAGCTGCAAAATTTCCTCATCGCTCGATGTAAAGTTGTGGCCTTATTGCCGCAGTGAACTTGATGGTTTCAGATACCAGTTGCTTGATGACAAACGCCTCAAATACTTCCTTGCAGTGGAGCGCCTTGTGCACACTGGAGTAGTGGAGCGTCTTTTGCACTGTGCAATAGTGCAACCTTTATCGTTTGAAACACTAGCCACTGAGCGACTGACTGAAATCAAAATGGAACGAGCTCATGAAAGGTGGGCGTTGGTGGTGACGACAAAGGATCTTAGTCTTATTAGAGTCGGCTGGCTGAAATCAAAATGGAACGAGCTCATGAAAGGTGGGCGTTGGTGGTGACGACAAAGAATCTTATTGTTAGTCTTATTAGAGTCTTTTTCTTCCATTTCTTAGCGTGCTTTGAATGCAAGGAGACTACGTCGTAAGATATTGCGATACCAAAAAGCCAGCCTAGATCAAATTCCTCAGCAGGTAAGCTCTTGTTAGGATGTGCGATATCACGAATGCTCAATTACGCATCTTCATAAACTGGAAATCTCATAAATCCCGCGAAACCATACCGATTAAGAGTGTACGGGGCAGTCTTAAACTTCCAATAAGTTCCATGGCGTAGACTTCCGGATGTTTTAATTCTGATTTGGTGTAGATTGCGTTGCGTGAATGGTTTATGTTATTCAATGAAAACAACCCTAGCACCCACTATTCGTGCGGATCTCTCGGGAAAGCGTGGGAAATCTCTTTAGGAAACTATTTATTTGGGACATGCCAATGCTTGCTTGAAAATGTTGTTAATATAAATCCACTTTTTGTCGCTGATAAATTCCATATCAGAATGGTGAAGGTGGAGCTTGGTAAACAAGAGTGGGGTTGCAGGCATCCTGGAATTAATGATTTTGAAACTGATCGACTGAAATTTCGGTCGATACTTCTGAAAGCCAATCAAGCCTCCACGCTTATCCGGAAAGATTAAAATCGCAACTGAGTTTCGGCGCGCATTAGTCCTCCTATTGCCTTACTTCAGCTACTGCACAGATTTATAGATATTATTGCCATCATCCGTCCAGTTCTCGAATCATTTCCCAAACCGCACGTATGATAGCAACGTTGCTTCCCTCTTGCTTTCCTCTACGCCACTTACACCACATCCTCCCCCTTTCAATCTCATGATTTCTGACATCTCCAAAAGTACAGTGCACAATAAGTTTCAAGTGCCTCTTTAAAGTGAAGTCTTGGGAATGATGGTGCACAAAAGCGCATCGGTGGCGAGGAAAGCGCGAAAATTGGAACCGGAGAGAGGCTTCCAGAAAATACCAGAAAATAGTAAAAGTGGATAGTTGTACGAGGGTATGACCACGGAAGTAATATGGACGATCTTGTATTCCAATCTTGCGCAATTCCGTAAGCAGTTGCGTGAGCGAAAAATACCAAAAATTGCCCTACTGTGTCGCTGGGATAAGGATAAACATATCCGGGTCAAACAGTTTTTATGTTGTTATTTTCTTTTACTGTTGTGATCGTGTTATTACTTTCTCGTTGTCATTATTATTATTGCTTTTATTATTGCATTGTCATTATCTTGCTGACAAACTGTTTGAGTATGCAACATCTGCTTCTTTGTGAGTTATGCAGTTTATACAAGGCCGGTTAAACACAGTCATTCTTAGGTGCGATATATAATACAATGACTTAAATATATGAGTCCTTACTACGCCCCATCTAGGCCGTTTTCGACTCGACAGTGGCCCATGTACTATCTTTGAGGGCCACAAATTTATCCTATTGAGGAATCTCGGGAGCCATCTTTACTGTGAACAGTGCCTTCAACTCAAATGGATGCCATAAAATCGGAAGGAAAGAGCAATGAGCGGATGCATGTATTCGACATGGCGACTGTTCTTTTAAAAATTTCTGTTAGGATAATGACCACCCCTTCGTTGTTGTGCTTTCCCGGGTGCAATTTCCGGCTGATATCCCAGCACAAATGGAACATGGCCCGAGCCGTTGAATTCAAATGAAACGATTCGTCAAGCTTCGTCGCCTATACAACAACTTTACGGCACAACCTCATCATTTGACGTAGAAGTCATCTCCGAGTTAAAGAGGAGGCCCGCTGAAGATATGCGATCTTGTTCATACCTCCCTGAGCCGCTCTCGGATACGTCGTGGGTCATTTGGAATAGAAAGGCAGGGAGTAAAAATCCCACTTCCGACACTTAAATTACTTCCTCTTTGCAGACGGCATCGTGCATTTAGCACCGATTACCGAGCAGATGAATTGGCTGTGCTTGCGGAAGGATTGTTCCGCAGATGATTGAAACGAAGACAAAGATAAGTGATGCTGTGCCCGATGCTTTTTTTATATACATCATTGTGTACAACCTAGCCGTTGAAGTGAGCAAATAAACAAGAGTGACATGGAGTGCTTTGAGAAATAATGAAGGAATTAGTCAAAAAGGAATGGAACATGCTCCATGCTCCTTAACGCCCATCTTTTCGACTTTACTGTCTTCCGAACTTGGGTTGTGGAAACGAGATGAACATGCAACCATCTCAATTCAAGTTTAGCTCAACTGAGGAAGATAACGCTCGGAGTTTTTCATTAAACAAGAATACAAGCAGGATTTCCGAATTCTGAATAACAAGCAGAGGTCAGGCTACATCGTCAAACTGAAGTGTTCCCCGAATGGAACATACAGGGCAATAAATGAACTTTACGATGGCTGTTCGCACGGCAGCTATACTTGTTAATGGAGGTTCTGGAGAATAGTATCGATATCTCCGAATTTCTGAACAAGAAAGGTCCGTCGACCAGTGGATCGCGACATAGACGAATAGAGACTTTGCTACGCCCTAGGCACTGCGCGACGGTGCGCGAATTGTTTGGTAATTCCATAGAGCAGTGCACAAGCAGGTGCTTACACGTACTAGTACGGTAAATGCGGAGCTGTAATATGCATTTATGTTACGACTATTGAAGGTCGTTCAGGAAAGGGCGTCAATACTATGTAAATGCAATTCGTTTCCTTCAGAACAATGCGCAACCGCAATTGTCGAGGTCCACTCGTCAAAAGCTGCTTTCCCTTCATTGGGACATTCTATATTACTTTTTCTCTGTCTATTGGGTTGTCCAGGAACTCTCCGTCGGTTTTTGGGCCATCTTCGAGTGAAACTTTCTAGAAGATCACATCCATCCACCAAACATATCTTCTATTCTGTTCAGTAACGGTTCACCCTCTTCCTGTAAGTCTTATTATTCCACTTTCATAGAAGCTTTCAGACTCTCTGCGGGCCTCCAGAGAATTGAAAGATTTTCCACTCAAACTNTTCTGCGGAAAACTACACAAGTAGTAGTCTGATTGTGCTATGCTGCACTATATGGAAGGTATGGTAAGACGTCCCACCTAAACTCCAGCAATTTTTGACGAGTGGCCAAAATAGGTTGTTCTGGGCGCTTCTGGTCTGCCGTTACCTTCATATTGTGTAGCCGAGTGCAGTACCTTTTCGATGTTATCATTTGATTATGCAGCAACAGCTCTCAATCAATAACTCTTTCAATCCCGCCAGCAACACAGCATGATCGTCCGCACCGGAATTTTGACTCTTGGGGTGGTTTGCTAGAGCTTCCTGGCAGGCTCCACTACCGTCAAGTTCCACGCAGTCGTACACGACCTATTTCTTATCCTCCGTTTTCATGCGTTCCAAAAACAGCTAATCTTGCTCTGTTGGAGCAACAAGTCGCACACGGAGGCGCTGTCCAAGATTAAAATATCTGGAATAGACTGTTCGGAATTTGGACAACAACGTCAGAGTATTTTTGTTACCGCTGGTAGGAGATTCGAATAAGTCGTGTTGTACTTGTACCGCAAAAACAGTTGTAGCTATTGAGGAGCACCGCAATTGCGTTATTGATAGAGCTATGAGGTTATAAGGGTTATAGTGATCAAGTGGGCCCCGTTGAACTCCGTAGCGAAGAATATAGTGAAGGATGAGAGGTGGACAGAGGTATATGATCGCGAGTAGCGTCATGCAGTAATCCCGAGTAGAGCCTCGTGCATTTGCTTAATACATCTTGCACAGGCAATGTAAGCCGTTCTCTGTCTCCTGACTCTTTCGTGCTATTTCTCTCAAGAATCAGAGCACTGGCCCACTTAACCATCACGAATTAGGACCTAGAATTTCTACAAGAGTTGAATGAATACTATATCTTCGAAAAAATAGATTGCTCAGCACATCTTCTTAAGGCATTATTTTGATTCCTGGTTGAGAAAAGCCAAAGTCAATCAATCCGATCATCATTTTGTAATCACGCGCCATGATTGCGTGATTACAAACCGATGATCGAGTCGATTGACTGTGGCTGTGCGAGATTTTCACATTTTGCGGCTATAATCCTTCAACTCGACGGTCAATCACACCTTCGCTACCCTCTTTGCGCAAACGACCTCAATCGAAGTGGAACGAATCCAATTCGTGGAGCTGTCGCCACTGACTTCGAATGGTGCATACACAAAATATGCTCTGCATTTTTTGTGCTTGTGCTTATTCCTTCCACGCTCGACTGCTTCATCATTCACCGAATGCCGCTACCGTTACGCATCGATTCAGAAAAAGCGTTTCTGTCAATCGAGGATGAGGAGAGAAGATGATTGTACACTCGTTTGAGTAATATCTTAAGCTGGTGGGCTAATGTTTTGAGTAAATAACTAGCGTACAGAAGCCTATCATGGGCGAGTAGCGTTGGTGGAAGATGTTGCTTCAGTTCAGTAAGTATGTGATGTGTGCGCATGTAAGATAATGGCTCACTTCGAACAAGAAATCCACGAAAGTATGAGATGCTCAAGTGACTTTACTTTTCCACTTCATAAACCGTGCTCTCCGCTTCTTTGGAAGCTACTCAAATTCGTCATTTTTTGCAGAATGTGATTCACCGTGATGTCAAGCCATCAAACATTCTCCTTGATTGGAATGGCGTGATTAAATTGTGCGACTTCGGAATTAGCGGGTTTCTTATCGAAAGTCGAGCGAGATCAAAACTCGCAGGCTGTCCACCTTACATGGCTCCGGAAAGAGTACGCTCCACGGTAGGACATTTTTTTGAATTCTCAGTCGTAAACTCTTCACTGTCATATTTTCAGGAAAATACTCCGTATGACATTCGTAGTGATGTATGGTCTCTAGGAATAACCCTCGTAGAGCTTGCAACTGGCCGCTTTCCCTACGAGGGAAGTGACTTCCAAATAATTACCTCTATTCTCGAATTGCCAAGTCCTTCGCTTAGAGTTTCGGTCGGAACTCAAAATTTTGTTGAATTCATAAAGTACACCTAATTTCTTTTACAAATATAATGCTTCCTGCAGGATGGTTTTTCTGAAGAATTCTGCGCTTTGGTTGACCTATGTTTGAGAAGGGATGTCGAAGAAAGGCCCCGATACGCTACAATTCTCGTATAATTTCACTTCCTTTCTTTTTTGAAAAGAATGCTTTAGTTTCTTGACGTTTTTCTTTTGATGAGTTCGCAGTACAATCCATTCATCGAATTAAGCGTCATCGCTTCATTGTGAAGAACGAGCTTGCCGACACGGATGTTTCGGAATGGTTTGGAAGCATCATGACCTGAACAACAAGGACATAGAAGATCATCATGCAGTACTTTGGCGCAGATAACTTTCATGCCCTCCTATAAAATAGTGGTTCACTGGTACGAATCTTTAGTTTCCACTCCTGACAGAGCTTAACATTGAGACTTTTCAGTGTGTCGGTCTCTTTCGCTTCTTTTTTTGGAGCGACAACACTGGAGGCTCCGGTCTGACAGAAAATTTTGTTTTGTAATTTGCCCCATTGATTTCGAGAAATGACGGCAAGTCATATATAGGGGAAATTCCTGGGGGCAGCTGTGACGGCAGACATGGCGGTTTCACTTCGATAACATCAGAACTAGGAATGGCGAGTTGTTGCATCAGTGTTTTTGTCAATTCTTCTGTCTATGCCGCTCACGCCTTCAACGCTCGTTCTTTGTATTCAAACTTTTTGGTGCACGTTCGTAACTAATCATACATACTGTTTGCCCACTGCTCAATTGACTCTAATAATAGTTCCCACTTATATGAGATAATTGTGAGTTTCTCTGGCCATGTCGTTGCTATCATATTCGTTGCGTCAGACAACCATAAGAGAATGAAGTATTATCCTTAATGATGGCTGAGCCCCTTTCACCATCTTTTTTAACTTGAAGATGCAAAGACGTCTCGCCTTGCAAAGAGATTCGGAACGCTATGCGAACGCTCTTATGAAAAGCTTCATGTATCCTGGCCAAT